CAGCAGTCCCAACAGCAGTGGAGCTGGTGCGGCGCGCAGAGAACACTGGGGTTGCCACCATGCATGGCTCCCCTTGATCCTCCCAGAAGCCCTCAGGGCTGAGAGAAGTCTCATCTGGGGAAGATGAATGGCCAAGGTCACGTGGTGAGACAAAATGTTTCCACCATAAACGTGGTGTTGGCCCCGCCCCTCATGTGTCCTGTTGTTAAATCAGTCCCTGCCACCTGCACAGCTCCAGGACCCCGCTGGCCCATGGAAAGACATCTCTGCCACAGCAGTCCCGTTTTGCCCAGCAAGTCCACGGGGAGGCACTCACTTGACAACCCCTGGTGTGGCCACCTAGGACTAGTTAGATGGCCCGGGTCTGCGTCCTCACGGCGGCCCTTTACAGGCTTTGACCTTAGCGGATCCTGCGCAAATCCACCGGTACACAGGGAAACAAGAACGTGGAGCTCCTGGACCTGGTTTCACAGCTCTGGATGCGGGGCTGAGAACAGAGCTGGGCCGGGATGTGCTGCCTGGAACAGTCGTCCTGACGGGAGACGGGCTCCATGGGGCGGTGGGGAATCCCCCAGGGAGGACCCACAGCGGCCGGCCGTGTGGGTGCAAGAAGGCCAGCGACAGCCACCCCGACGCTCCCTGACAAAAGGGCGCCCCAGAGGGCACAGTCTGAGGCCCTTTCGCTGCTTAAAATATGCACATTTTCTCAAGCTATTGGCAAAACAATCTGAGGAGCTGGAGAAGAGGGGAGAGAAGAAAAGGAGGGAAGAAATGGAGAGTGAGAGGGAAAGACAGAGCGGAAGCGGGGAGTGGGGAGGCAGAGAGAGACAGAGAAGCAGGGGCTGCCGCGGGTGACCCCAGCTCCGGCCCGCATCTCCTCAGCCAAGGCGGGCTGTCTCCAGCCTGGAAGCCTCTTGGGTTCCCTGACCACTGCCCCTCATCCCGCCTTCCTGGCAGGCTCTGTGCTCCCCTCTCTGCCTCCAGCGTGACAAAGCAGGTCCCCAATAGGGGCTCCTTCCCCCAGGACCCCCCAAGTGTGAGGGGCAGTCTGCAGAGCCAGCCTGGACCAGGGTGAGGATGCTGCTGCCAGGAAGCCACTGAGCGGGGGCTCCTAGCCCAACTAGCAAGGGCGGGGTGATGGGGCCCAGCGTCCCCTGTGGCGCCCCCTTCTGCTTCCTGTGCTGTTCCAAGCTCTCAAATCCCCGGAAGGGCAGGAAGACCCTTCCGCTGGGAAGGGTCCTCTGCTCCGTGGGTCCCAGCCGTCCCTCTCCTGCCTGCTCCACACTGTCCACACCACTACCTTCAGAAGTGTCACCAGGCAGTGGGGAGCCACAGCTCTGCACCCTCCAGCTGCCCTCACAAAGGGGTGCAGTCTTGGGACCGGCACACGAGATGGTTTCGGGGCCACCCTACCCTCTCGGCTGCCCTGTGTTGTTTCCTGCTTCCGGAGCCAGAGAACTGGCCCTGGCTGACCAGTGGGAGAAGGGTACGGGGCCAGACATGCACCAAAGCTGATGTCACGGCAGAAACACCGCAGGCTCAGTGGGATCCGCAGGTGAATGGGAACCCCCGAGGGGCAGGGGCATCCGGGTGGCCTGGTTCTGCAGTTCACACCTTTACTGGTAGGGGACACCTGTCCTCCAGGGAGTGTTGGTCTCCAAGCACACGCTCCGCCCCCTGCTGCTGATTCCCAAAGACATCCTTCTCACCAGGCGTGCTGTTGGGTGCCTGTGACCCCAGCACTTGGGAGCTGAGGCAGGAGGATCACTGCAAGTTCAAGACCAGCCTGACATACACAGTGAGACTCTGTCCCCCGGAAGAGTCCTTCCCGTGTACCATGTCCCCCTCAAGACTGGTGCTGTCTCTGAAGAAGCCTCCTGTGTCTTATTCCCTGGGGTCGCTCGTGGCTCAATCAGCACCTCTGCCCGACCGCTAGACACAGCCTGTGACTCAACAGGCCCAGACCAGAGGCTGCTGGCCCCAGGAGCGACGCAGGTGCACAGGGAGGGGGCTGCAGGGACCCCTTATCTGGAAGCCAAGGGCTGCTCCCCATTTCTTCAAGGCCTGCTCTGCCATCTAACTTGAAGCGATAAAAACACGGACACAGCACCTGTGCTCCTTCTCTGGCCACAGACACCCAGAGCATCTCCTGCAGGGAGGAGCGCAGGTGCCCCCTTTCCAGAACCAACCTCTGTTCGGGGTCTGACGCCCTCGGTGGGTCGGGGCTCTAAGTGGGCGCTGGTGACACTGAGCACAGAGGGAGGCAGGGACCCGGCATCTTTCCATCTCTCCCCTTGGGCGCTTCACCAGCCACTGTCCCTAGCACCTCTTGTCTCGCCAGACCCTCAGTGTCCTGGATCTGTCACTGAAGCATCCAGAAGGGGCACACGGGCCGCATCCCATCTGGGACCAGAGTGAACACACAACACAGTGGAAAGGCAGATAGTGGAAGCCACGTCTGCAGAGACCCCCAAAGGAGCCACTGCCGCCACCCGTCAGTTGGACAGCAGCCATGACCTTTGACAGGTGCAGAAGAAAGCGGGACAGAGGCTTCCTCAGACAAGGGGGACAGCGGCTCAGGCTGTGTGGGATGTGAAAGCGCTCTGAGCTGAGCCCTGGGGTGGGGCTCAGGACCCCGCGGGGGCCAAACCCACTCCGTATGTCTGCACCCCGCAGTGTAGCTGAGGAAACACTGGGCTCCACACGTGCCCCTGTTTTATGCGGGGGAGGCTGGGGGAGGAGCCCAGCACGTGCCCCTGAGGACCGACTCCAAGGGGTAGCGGCCCCCACCCTGTCACCATCCTAGGTGATGCAGCCTGGGCGTCTCAGCCCCCCAGTGCCCTAACCTCCCTGCCTGCTCAGAGAGCTGGTCCCACAGTGGGCAGCCCCAGCGTGCGTGGCCACAGGGTTAATGAAAAGCCAGCCCAGCCACCATCCAGCACAGGCAGGGTCAGCGTGACCTGGTGATTCCAGGTGCCTCTTGCTGCTGGCACCCGTGACACTAGCTCTGCTCTCTGCTGTCTGTGCTTCTCTCTGCTGTGACATCCCCTGAACCCCGGTGTCAGCCAGAGCCGCACAGGCTCCCCGAGCTCCTGTCCTCATCCACAGGCGGGGACAGCAGGGCTGTACCAGTGTGACAAGATGTCCTCCCCTGGGCCAGGGTTTGATAAAGGGGATCTGGGTCCAGCCCCGGGAGCTTCTCCTAGGTGGAATAACCCAGAAGAAACAGCAGCATTTCCACTTTCCAACCCCCAGGGGCCCCTGCCCACCAGTCAGGACCTCGCTGTGACTGGGGTAGCCCTGTCGCGGTGACCACCATGTGGCTGCTGGCTGGACACGAGCGGCGTCCACAACACAGCTTGCAGAGCCAAACACTGGCTCCTCTCCTCCTGTCAGCCGCTCAGTTGCTGTGGATCTAATTCAGTTTAGCTAGTAATTAGTTTTGTATTACTTTACACGGTGATGTTAATACTGATTACAGGGCCTGATAACTTTAGTAATAAATACAACCCAAGGCAGAAAATTACCTTGCTTTTGGCTGGGGAAGTCAGTCGAAGGAGAAGTAAATTGCTCTAGAGGAAGCAGCTGCCCCATGTGGAGGCTTTACGGGCGTCCGGCCCCCTGGTGTCACAGCCACCCACCCCTCCCACCACAGGCTCAGGCCTAGGCACAGGAACTCCGGTCTCCAGAGCCTGGTGTTCGCGCACCCAAGGGCACTGGCAGCCCTGGTCCGTGAGCAACTCCAGCGCCAAGACTGTGTCCCATGCGTTAGGGATGACAGGTGTCGGCAGAGACCCCAGGGCCACCCCAGCCCCTCTGCTGCCTGGTGTCCAAAGCCACTGCGGGGCTAGAAGCCGGCGGGTAGGAGGCAGTGGGTGGGCGCTGGAGGCTCAAGCTGGTCACCACAGGGAGCTGCATCTCCACCTTCAGTTTGTTCCTGGGGGTGGGCGGATAGGACTTCCGCTCTGGGACCAGGGAGAAGGGACGGAACTCTGGCCTTGCAGAACGCAGGACGGAGAAGGGAGGACAGCATCTCCACTCTATCTCCCCACCAGCCCTTGCACCCCTGGGGCTCCCTGCAGGCACCAAGCCCAGTGGACAGCTCACCAGACCAAGGGACGTGGACACAGCAGCACTCCATCCACCCAGAAGCAAACAAGCACAGCACGGGCGGGCACCCTGGGGCATTCTGTGTGCCTTCATAGCCGGAACCTTTCCAGGGCACGAGGAGCCCAAGAAAGGCAGTGCCTGGCTGGGGGCACATGGCTGATGAGAAGAGCCACTTCTGGCTTAAAATAAACCAGCCCTTCACACAGACATGGAGCATGGGGTGGGAAAGTCAGGGTGCACGCCCTTCCTCTTCAGCACAGCCTGCCTGCAGCCCCTGCACCTGACCTCCTGCTCCTCCCCTGTCCTCCCATCTTTCTGCCTGGGCTCCCTCGTGCAACCAGATCCAACCTGGGGGCCCACTCAGATGGGCGCCTCTCTCTCCGCGGCGACCCCAGCTCCCGGTACAGCCCTTGGCACAGACAGCTCTGGCGTCCCTCACACGGTCTGGCGGAGCCCCAGGTCTCCCGCAAAGCGTGTCACCCAGATAGATGGCAAGGGGCTTGACTCCTGAATGTCAGCTCAGCGTGCGGGGGTTAAACCCACCCTCCGGCAGCCAGGAAAGGGTAGGTGAGCAGGCGGAAGACACTCACAGGACTTCCTTGCTTTTCAAGGGTGGGAGTTCACACTCAGGGTGGTCTCAGGGTCACCCAGCCGGAGCCTGCCAGGAACGGGGCAAGAACAAGGGCACTGGGTTCAAGGTCACGGCTGTGGAGCTTCCCAGCCCCTCCACGGCACCCACGGGGCCATGCTCCTTGTGCCTCTGTATCTGAGCAGAAGGCAGGGGCGATGCAGGGGCTGTGTGTGGGCCTGAGTCCGGGAGCCCGAATTGCTGCACCTCCCCCAAGACTGAGCAACCAGCCTCTCAGCGCCCCCAGGTCCCATGCTGTCACCTTACACCACTTCTCAAGGGCGTGGGATGTCAGCTCTTTGTTGAAAGTCACAGGCCAGGACGGTGCCCAGTGTCTTCGGGTGAGGGTGCAGCTCACGTGGAACCACGGCTGCCCCAGCCGCAGGCTGTCAGTCAATGGCTGGCACCTGACCGAGTGGCTGTCCGCGGGGAGCTGCCAGGAGGACTTGGCCCCGCCGCGTGCTGCACTCCCCACCTGTCTGCAGGAGCCCCACAGCGGCCTCCGTACAAGCATGTAGCATCCCACGGGCACCCACTTCCACACACGCTGACCCACGGGCTGTAGCCCTAGGATCTCACGTCCCTGTCCCAGGGAGGAACTGAGCAGCAAGGTGTGGGTGTGGGGGCGCTTTCCTCAGCGAGGTGGGAGACAGACACCTGGTAGCTGGGTCCCACTTCTGGAAGCCTGGGAGTTTCTTTCATTCACAAACGTGTACATCATTCCTGGGGACGCTCTGGGCTGTAGCCCTAGGATCTCACGTCCCTGTCCCAGGGAGGAACTGAGCAGCAAGGTGTGGGTGTGGGGGCGCTTTCCTCAGCGAGGTGGGAGACAGACACCTGGTAGCTGGGTCCCACTTCTGGAAGCCTGGGAGTTTCTTTCATTCACAAACGTGTACATCATTCCTGGGGACGCTCTGGGCTGTAGCCCTAGGATCTCACGTCCCTGTCCCAGGGAGGAACTGAGCAGCAAGGTGTGGGTGTGGGGGCGCTTTCCTCAGCGAGGTGGGAGACAGACACCTGGTAGCTGGGTCCCACTTCTGGAAGCCTGGGAGTTTCTTTCATTCACAAACGTGTACATCATTCCTGGGGACGCTCTGGGATCCAGAAAGCAAGATACCTGGCCACAGGGTGTAGCTCTGAGGCTCTGGAATCCTGTGTAGCCCAGCCCCGCCCCGCAGGCACCTCCACACAGGCTCCACCTTAGCAGCCTCTGCCAGTGGTGAGAACCACCTGTCCTAAACCCGGTGGCACCCACTGAGGTGGGACAAGAGTAACCAGCATCTCTGCCTCTCTCATAAGTCGTCATGGTGTGGAGGGGCTTTGGCCAGAGAGCTTCACTCTAAACTACAAATAGAGATACTAGGTTTCCACTGCACAATTCTAAACGCTTGGCTTCAGGAAAGGGAAGGCTGAGGCCCCACCAGGCAGAGGGTGCCTCACAGCTGAGCCCAGAGTCACATTTCCCAGAGGGATCCCAGCTCAGCCTCAGACAGGGTAAGGTCCCCAGCAAGCAAAGAAAACATTTCCCTGGCTGCCACTAGGGAGGCAGAGGCCAGGAGCTGGCCGGAGTGCTGAAGGCAGCCCTGGCCCCTGGTCTGCAGATCCCGTTGGGGAGACCTGGGGGTGTAGGCGCAGTCAGCGTGGATGGGCGGACACTTCGCCACCCAGACAAAGCTTCTCGCTGAAGTTGGACCAAAAGTTTCTCCCCAGAACACGGGATCTTTTAAAAGATAAGAAGAGGAGAAACTTGGTGAGGAAAAGCACCTTGTGTCTCCCGATGGAAGATTACCAGGAAGGCATCAGAGGGCCCTGGGGACAGCCACTTGCAGGGCCACCCGTTGCCTCTTTGCCAAGATGTGGCAATGAAGAGCAGGCACAGCCCTTTGCAAAGAGCCAGCTGCTGCTGGGGACCTGCTGGTTCTTTTCTGCACGTGTGTGTACTTGTGTGTGTGTGTGTGCGCGCGCGCGCGCACCGGCATGCATGCATCTGTCCACTACCATGCATAGCCAGCACCCCTCCCCAGAGCCTCCAGGGAGGGGCAGGGAAACCTCTCCTGGAGGCCACGCAGAGCCTCGCTAGGGGTGACTGGCCGGTGACCAGCAATGCCAGGGCAGTGCGCTGAGGGTAAAGGAGGACAAAGCCCACCATGGGGCCAGAGAGCACGGTGCCTCCTGGGCAGAGCCGGGGGCAGCAGGGACTTGCAAGAAACAAGGGAAGCTCTTTCCAGAGTCTTCTCTCTCCCTGTGGTCTTCCTCCTGCTCTCAGCCCTCCCTTCGCGCCTTTGTTTCCTCTTTTATTTTTCCGGAGGGAGACAGCAAGGCAGGGAGGTCCCGGCAGCCGGGTCGGGCCATGGGGCTGGCCGCCATCCCCCCCTAGACTTGCGACTCCCAAGGGCCGGAGTGTGGGCGCAGAGCACAGCACAGTGGCACCAGGGAAAGGGCATTTTAATGTCACTCCCAGGCAGCCCGAAGCCGGCAGGCTCTTCCCAGCACTCTGGTTTTGAGCGTCCTCCCGGCCGGCCACTCCGACAGCACTTCTGCTAGACCTGCAGCTCCGAGATGCATTTTTAAAATGGAGAACACCACCCCTGCACGCGTACATTGTTCAGGGGATGCAGCCGCGAGGTGCCCCGCCGTCTCCCTGCTGGTGCCTGGAGCCTTCACACACCCCTGTGGCCACAGCCCCCACGATCTCCTCATAAAGCCAACAAAGCACCATGCGCTCACCTGCCCTTGCGGGGCGCCAGGCACAATTTCCACAGCCTGTCTGGGGGCTTGGGGGAGCGTTTTGCCAAAGACAAGGGACGAGCCACCCAGGGCTCTGTGGGGCCAAGAGTGAGAACGCCGGGGAGGGCTCGGCTCGTCGGCTCTGAGTCCCCCCACCCCCGTGACCACGGCGGCCAAGACCACCAGGGCCGCCCTTTGAACTTCTCGGCGGCGGCGGCGCGGCGGGGCGGGGGGCA